TCTATAAACTGTAGTTTATCACGTGATACTATGACATCATCAAAACACAACAATGACGTAATCTAAGATTTGTGGTAAATTCAAATAACTGATCATATAAAACAGTGAAAATTGTATTAATAAAAGTATCTGAATATAAATATAAGAATTAAACGTTGGTCTCACTAACATTATTGGTGTGTAAACGCAATTGATCACGCCACAAACTTACGTAACTTTGTCATTTTGGTTTTTGGATCGGATTTGCTCTGGTCCGGTTTTATTATATGCCACATCTCTCTATGTGGACGTACATTATCGGCACCCCTGTCCGTTCGTCAGTCCGTCCGTCAACATTTGCTTGTAAACGCTCTAAAAACTAGATTTTTTGATGGAATCAAATGAAATTCGGTATGTGTATTCATATTCATAAAACGAAGATCAAGTTTGAGCTATTTTCGACCATTAGAAACAGAGTTATTGCCCTTGCCCCAAAATCTTGAACATTTACCATCTGCATGTCGTGGTGGGCGTATATGGCTGTGGTCCACTATCTTTGAGTTTGCGTTTAAGTTGGAGTTTGCATTGACATGTAATCGCAGCCTTAGTTTATTATTGTATGTTGATTATGGTTTTGTTTTGTAATTTTAGACACGAGGAATTGTTGAGTGAAGATGGACACTATGCTGATATGTGGAAACAACAACTGATAAAACAAGAATAAGCTCTTACACCTTGACATTATTAGACACTTTTCATCTTCACAAGGTCAAGCTCAGTGAGGGGATACAGGGGGGAGTTTTATTTCTAATAAATTCAAAAATGTTTTTGCTCCATAATATGTGTCAGAAGGCAAGATATAACAACCTATATCTAATACCTTGACATCAATAGACACTTTTCTTGTATCATGGAAGTTTTACAAACTTTGTCTAATACCTTGACTTCATTAGACATTTTTTCTCTTTTTCGAAAGTTGAAGCACCCCCTAACTAACATCTTCAAAATGTCAAGCTATTCAAAACTGTGCCTAAGTGTCAAGGTATTAGACAGAGTTTGTAAAATGCCTGGTAACTTATTGGACTTGACTTGAGACTTGACGTTGTGGAGATGTTGGTATTTAAGTTTATTGTATAGTGCTCATTTACCAAAATTTTTATGAATCATGATATTTAGAATATTTATGAATCATGATATTTAGAATTTTTATGAATCATGATATTTAGAATATTTATGAATCATGATATTTAGAATTTTTATGAATCATGATATTTAGAATTTTTATGCTAGGGCAATTTATCTAGCAGACCCATAGACCTTGTTCACGCCT